TTATATATATTTTTTATAATATATATATATATATATATATATATATACTATATATATATATATATATATATATATTTAAATTCATTTTAATTATTAATAAAACATTTGTTTGAATAAATCATGTTTTTAGACAGCATTAAAACATTTCACTGTGACACACTCAGTAATATCCCTGGGAAGCTTGTTCCACATGATTGGCCCAAGAAAGCACTTTCACCGTACAATTTGGTTCGGATCATAGAAAGCGCGATGACACTCGCTATTAATGCATGAGTGATGTGATGTGATCTGGTGCCAGTCGGTGTTTGGCATTGACGATGACAAGAAGGACCTTGTAGACGAGCCAACTACATTGTCTGTAACTGCTGTAATATTGTTGATATACTTCGTGGCCTCACTCACTAGTCTGGTGGCGGTATTCTGTCTATGCAATCTTCTTACAAGCCAGAAAGTAGACTGTTGCAGTAATCTAGTTTAGACAGAATATATGGATGAGCTTTTCATGAGATGGTTTGTCCAGAAAAACTTTCTGAGGCGACTGAGGTTACATTGTCCCTAGACAACTCATACCTGTCGGATTACAGGTAAATTATTGTGAAAACTAAGAAAAAGTGGCCCAAAAATCTTTATCCTGTCCTGTTTGTTCAAAATTTAACATAGAATTGCAGACAATCGGCCCCAAACACGGTTGGGCCAAGGACAATCGGATCCATTTTCAAAATACCATATGGTACTTATATCTTGCACTCAAGGCAAATGATTGGTAGTGCTACGGAAATTGTTTATTTACTACTGAATTCTGAAGATATAAAAAGTTACAGAAATTCATTTTACGAACTTGAGAAGTCTGGTCTAGGCTGCTACAAATAGCAGATGCTTTGAAATCTAAATCTGTATCCAATTTATGCAGAAATCGAGATTGTATGACCTTCTGTAATACTGGATAATAATGTTGGATGCAGAGACCACTGATATTGCATGGTGATCAGAAGACTTATCTGTGGCAATGGTGACAAATCTTACTAAATCATACCTATGATAATGAGGTTAAGGGCGTGGCCTCGCTCGTGGGTCTGTGTGTTGATTTACTGGTGCGGATTTTCCAACTCCAGAAACTTCAGGAAATTCATGGTTTTGGTAGACTTTGTATTGTCAATGTGAAAGTTGAAGTCTCTGGTAATCAGAAAGTGTCCTGAGGCAAATGTAAGTTTTTCAAGTAAGGACAAGAATTCCTCCATCAATGGCCTGCTGTAGAATGGTTGTCTTTAGACGGTGGTGGTCTATAGATGATCAACAGTCGTACTAGGTCACAACCACATGTATCTTGTTTGACATTGTCCCTTATTAGCCAGGAAATTTGAGAAAAGGTTAGAGCATCGATGCACATGCAGCCTCAGTATATTAAAAATTTTAATGTCATAATTATGTTTGTGTGTATTAAAGCCAGTAGACAAATATTGTACATTTATAATCACAATGCGGATGAATTTAAAGCTTGACCCTGGTATCACTACACCTGATGAAGCATGAAGCATTAATTGGGGCAAAAATTTGTAAATAAAAATTTATTGTTTATAATAGTGCATTATTATTTTTCTAGGTAGAATTTGGTGAATGTATAATGTATGTATAAGTTTAATCTTTGTTGTTAATAGTATTTTGTAATTGTTTCTTATTTTTGTAAACCTATTGTTAATATAGATTTCATATCTTTTTATGGCTTTGGTTATATTTTACACATTTTTGATTTCTCCATTTTCATAAGTTTTCTTTTTAAAAATTAATAATTAGATTTATGGATAGAGAAAAAACAAATACTAAACACTGGTGTATTTTAGTGTAGGAACTTGCTTTTTGTTTGATAATTCTTGTTTTGAGTCTGTATTTTAAGGTGATAGAAAATATTTTTTTATTTTTTTTTAGCCAACAAACCAATTAATCAATCAAATAATAAACAAATCATTAAATCAATAAACAGCAGGAATTTGTGAATAAATATTTATTGTTTAAGGCCACGATTTGTGTTTGACAGTGATGCACACAATACACAAATTTCACCCATAAATGTGGAATAAAAAGTGCATCTTGTGTCTCGAGTTAAGGTAGATTCACACACCGAATACGAATTCACAATAAAATATCACAGAGTATTTTCACACAATGATACAAAAAATTCTATGAACCATACAGCTGAACTGCCAAATATCGGACAATAAACCTTCAGGCCGATATTTATTGTAGTGCAGTGTACCATAGCATAAAGCACTTTCAGTAAATACCAGACCGAAGATACTTATTTCATGAATACAAGGGAGGCTGTTTACATAACTAGTTTTTTTTTAGGTATAAATACTTTCTACTGCCCTAATAACAGCCACCCTAGTCTAAGTACCTGAAATCAGTGGAACATCCGAAAGCAAACAGATATAGAACATTTTGTCTGCAAATGTGAGGTTTTGTTCCTAAATTTAAGTTGAGTAAAAGAGTGCTACAAAAACTAATTTTGCTATAAGAGCAAGGTACAGTAAGTTCAAAATTTATTTCTACAGTATTTATAATAGTGCATTATTATGTTTCTAGATAGAATTTGGTGAATGTATAATGCTGTCTCTTATACACATCTAGATGTGTATAAGAGACATGTAAACCTATTGTTAATATAGATTTCATATCTTTTTATGGCTTTGGTTATATTTTACACATTTTTGATTTCTCCATTTTCATAAGTTTTCTTTTTAAAAATTAATAATTAGATTTATGGATAAAGAAAAAACAAATACTAAACACTGGTGTATTTTAGTGTAGGAATTTTGTTTTTGTTTGATAATTCTTGTTTTGAGCCCCTGGGGGGCTGTGTTGGGGACAATGAACGCCAATCGTCGCAAATGCCTTCATGTGATAATTCCTTTATTCATGATCACATGGGGACTGTGTCGGAGACATTGAGGAGCTGACAGGGCTCCTAATAGGGGGTGAATCTGTCACATATACTGTATAGACTAAACTGGTGACATGATATTAATTTAAAAATGTGTGCAAAAAGCCAAAAGAAAAAAAAAAGGCAGACAAAGCAGCTAGAGCACTGTAACACAGCTATGAACTGTAATGTAGTATTAAGGTTCAATGGTATTAACTTGCATAACCATTGGAATCGATACCTTTCACCTGATAAATGCCTTAAATTGGATTGACACTTTTAATGGTCAACTTGAGTATACAGATAATCTAATAATATAACTGGACTTTGTATAACTTTACCCTAGTCAGTTGGACTTGGCCTTTCTCACACTATGAATCTATGATTGTCAGTTTTGAGCCTAAGCTCTGAAGTTTGTGATA